GGGGGGGGATGGCCACACCAAAATCCCTTCTTCTCCATTCTCCTCTTGGGATCTTGGGCACACACGCACACGCGCCCGGTGTGAGTTTAAGCGACTGGGTCCGGGACTCGAACTGCGATCGACTACATGGGAGTCCAGCGACATAGCCATTACGGTAACTGCTGGTCCCAGCATTTCTTTGATTTATTAAAGTTAAAACTGCTTTTCTTGAAATTGCCAGGTAAAAAAATTTAAATAATTTTCTGTTAATGCAAGGACAATCAATTGCCTTCACTTTTTATTTCATTATTGTTGATTAATTCAACTTGAAATAAATTCCTTCAACAATCAATCCTTCCAATTCTTGTATATTAAACTCCATTACATTTTGAAATTTATTTTATTTTGCTTTTAAGTACTTTGAATGACTGACTCAATAAAACTTTTCAAACAATTCTAATGAATCATTTAAACTAACAGAATGAATTTTATGTTCTTCTGAATGTTAGAAACTCTTTAAGTATCCCAAATACATACATTATCTGAATGATGTTCTAAACATAATATAAAAATATTGCTAGTTTAATTCAGTTCCTCATGTCTATTTAATTTAAAGCTCTCCCAGAAATTACTTTTAAAAAATAAAACCAAAACAAAAAACACCTACCCACCTAGAGAACACTCTCAAAGGAGTTAAAGTCACCACCCCAAGGAGGACAAATTGCTCAGAGACGGACATTTCTGACCAGGTTACAGGATCTGGGCTACACAGACCAAGGGCCTACAGTCATTCTGCCTAAGCCACCAATATCCACACTGGGCAGGTTTTCTTTTCCTTTTTTTTTTTTTTTTGGAGAGGTTTTTGCTATAGGGCACATGTACTTGCCAGAGAGAGACAGAAAGACAGAAAGCGAGAACTCACCCCCTGGGGGGATGGCCATGCAGCAATCCCTTCCCCTTCATTCTCCTCTTATGATCTTGGGCACATGCACGCGTGCGCGCACACACACGCGAGCACACGCACTCAGCATGAGTTTAAGCCACCGGGTCTGGAACTCGAACCACGGTGGAGTTCAGCGACATAGCCATTACGCCAACTGCTGATCATACATGAACAGTTTTTCTAGTTGGTGCCCAACAGTAAGAAGTCTACAACCACCAGGTTTAGGTTGCTTTCGTCTATTGAATAGATCCAACTTACATCGCTATGTAATTCTTCCACCTGATTCCAACAGGCCAAAGACCACACCTCCATGCACACTGCAGTTAAGTGCTTTCCCTTGATTGATTTAATTCTCCATTCTTTACTGCCTTATTAAACACTTTCGTTTTCCTGTTTTAGTGTCTTATGGCAAAGTAATGTTCAACTTTTAACTTCCACTGTGAATCTTAATTTTCTCAGCAGGGTTAATAAGTAGTTATCACTGTAAAAATTAACCAAGAAAAAACTTACCGATAGTTATAGGGCACAATGTTCTGCGCATCTAGTGGAAAATATAAGATGCCTTTTTCTTTTTAACATTTATAATTATTTATTTAATTGTATCATTCCTGTATTTAAACCTCATAGATATAAACAACTGTGAGAAACATTTTAAAATACATTTTGGGAAATTTCATTAGTGACCTCAATATTATATCTCATTATTATGGAATATGGAAAGTCATGACATGTTTTTCTATACAAAAATGTATCATGACTTTCCTGACAACCCAATATTTTGCCATTTTAGAAACTGTATTAAGAAAAGGAAAATGAAAGAAACCAAGGAAAGAAAGAAAAGCAAAAAGGCCAGCCTCAATTTCAGGCCCTTAAATACTATTCATTGACACATAAGCACAGTTCCTGGAAAGCTTATGTAATTTACTATACTTTACCTTTGGTAAATATCTCGTCTTTTACTGGGTTCTAGAGCACCTTTCAATTGGCTCTCCGAAAGCAAACTATCAACCTATGACAAATGGAGACAGTTTAAAAGAGCACATTATTAAATACCGTATCACCTGAGGAAATAACTTTTTTTAAATTTCAATTTATTTATTTGCATTCATTCACTGTACATCATTACAGCATACAAAATGAGATTTTCCATCCAGAGTACACTGAATGTTGTCTCAATCAAGCACATCAACAAACATGTTATTGTCAGCAAATGATCTTCCATTTCTTGTTTTCTGTATGTTTTGCTTTTTTCTCCCCCATCCTTGATTCCCTATCTCTTACCCTGTGCCATCTCCCACTCTCCTCCCACACTGTCTCCGGTATCTATGTTAGCTTTCTATACTGTTTTCCCCCCACATTTTATTGAATCAGCCAAGACCCTAATCAATCCAAATACCCTCATAGCAAACACAGGTGACACACACATTTCCATGAACACAAGTCTAACTTTACGCATCCTATAAAGTAGCACCTAGCTGGGGCTACATATCCTACTGCAGTCATTGAATAATTTTTTTTTCCTGAAACTTTTTTTTTTGTAACTCAATTTACATTCCTTCCCTATGCATCATCACAGCACACAAAATCCGATCTCCCATCCAGTACACACTGCAGTGACTCGATCATGCACATTATAAAAAATTTTCCATTTCTAGTTCCTAGAATTATTTCCACCCCTCTTTCTGAAGGACCCTCTGTCCCTTCCCACCCT